TTTACGACGTATCTTGCAACAATTGCAATCTTTTGTCGCGGAAAGCACCCAACCCGCTGAGACAAGCATTATAGGCGACGCAGAGCCCTTCGTCGCCGATATTGGCCTCGACGTCGCGAAGGCATTCAGCGTGACAGGCGAGCATATATTGTCTCATATCTTGAACAAAATCGCATGTTTCTCCTTGACTTAATCCTTGTACTCTGGTCGTCAAGTGCTCAACGCCAAGGAGAACGTCGAAGAATTGAATCAAACTGCTCTGCGCATTACCATCTCCACTGTATTGCCAGTACTGATCCGCGCAAGAGCCATCTTCGTACATCACACCATGGGGCAGACCAGCCGCAGCCATGTTTTTGCTACCGGCAAGGTAGCCGGATCTGACGGTAGTATGTAGCCGGGTCGCAACCCTCGTGCATGCGATGTAACAGGTAAGATCCGTCAGGCGCTCCGCGCATGTGCACAAGCAGCTCGTGATGAGCTCGGGATCATTGTGCCAAGCGGCCCCAATAGCCCGAAGGCGTGGTGCAAGGACTGGTGCTCCCCGGAGCTCAATAGCGACCGAAATTGCGTAAAGCCATGATTCATCTGTTAAGCCAGTAAAAGTATGAAGACTGCTGAATTGCTCCACGTTTCCGACACTCTCGCTGGAGACTGATCTAAAGTTCCATAGGCAAACCGCGGCCTACCCTGCGACAGGCAAAGTGTTCAGATGCTCTGAACAGCCAGGAGAGAATTGCAGGCCTCTGATGCCGATTCGTTTGCAATTGCGGTGTCAGGTCTCTTCCTGGCTCCTGACCAACGATGAAGTGAGCAGCGGTTTCTGCCGCATATGGATTGGTTCGTGGAGTTGCATGAGCGGCAATTTCCTGCTATCGATATCCATACTGTTACGGAGCCAGTAGCGGCTGAAGTCAGGCCCTGTACACGCGGTCGGTTCAACGCCAATGCAGTCGAAAGAAGTAGAAGCAAGCGCATAGCGGACAATTCTAGCCCCAACGACAGCGTGGCATTATTGAAGCCAGTTATGTCACGAAATCTGATGATGGCTCTTATCACAATGCTTAAAATACATAGCTGCGCCGGTGTATACTGTATTGTAAATTACACGCAGGGAGACATGAACAATCTAGACTAAATGAAGTCCTCCTTGATAACTCTGTTGGCTAGCACCACTTGTAGTTTTGCCTACCGAGGATCCGTTCCTGTCGACAGCATCAATGCTTCCGATGGTTCACTTGTTTCTACGCAAGGGTCTCTCGCGAGATCGAACGAGTATATCTCGTTCTGTGGCGGCTCAAAACGCGCGACTCTCGCCCAAGTAGCCTACGTCGGAAACACCGGCACCAAAGAGCACTACGGTTGCAATATTATGCAGATTCCAGCCTCTATTGCCTCTCACTATCGTTATACCATCGAGTTCATCAACGATGGCTTGGATGTTCAGGAATGTAAATGCTGGAATAAGATCGGTCCAGATGGTGGTATCAATGGTTTTTTTGCCGGCAACGAGGCCATCACTTTCAGCTTGGCCGCCAGCGGTCAGCAATTCGTAGCGTTCGATGAGAACTCCCAGATCGGTTGTTCTTGTCATAATGGGTCCGTTCCCTTGACCCCGTTCGGCGAGTTCGCCTCAACTTGGGTAAAGGCCGACTTTGGTGATGACGCGAATCAAAAACACTCTGGGTTCGACGCCTCATGTTTAGTAGCTGCTTTATACGACTTAGAGATTTCAGCCCTGAGTGTTTGCGGTGGCCCCCGAAACACATGCTCTACCATTTATCGTAACGGGACTGGCGAAAACGCCTACGTAAAAGGCATGGAAGACTCGGACATAGTGATGCCGATCGATCCTGGACCTGTAGCGCTCACTGTACGAGTCGACTCTCCATGACCGATTTGTTATGTGGCATAAAAGCCCTTTGAAGCTGAGTGTCAAGTTTCGACGATTCAGGTCTACCTTCATTGGACGGCGGGAATGTTTCGAGATAGAAGATGACGATGAACGCAAGCTTTTACACCCCAAATTGCTTCTTCAAAGCAATATAGAGGATTTTGAGAAGGAGAGTCGAGGATTCGATGCATGCCTAAACTTTCGATTGCTTATTGAAGAGCTTAAGGACATCGACATCACAGAAAATAGTACTAATTCCGAGAGCAAGTAATGCCTTGAAAGTGATCTGGCAATCACACCGGTTTCCATACTGCGTTATATTCTTAACAAAGCATTCAAGATTTATCGGAATATCCATGCATCGTAACGCAACGCTTATTTCTTCTTCTTCTTTTTGAGCTTCGGCTCCCAATCAAGCTCTGTTTCCCCTGTATTAATAACTTCAATACGGCCACTTGGCTCTTCATGTTGCGCTTGCTCGACCAAGGAAGTCTGCCCGTATTCGTAGGGGCCTTCTGACTCATTATCACTATGAATTTGCTCAAAGGCTTCAAGTGGAGGCGAAGCTATATAGCGTCAGCATTTGCAAGGCAGCGAAAGGGTTGTCCTCTTACGCAGGCCCAACGTGCGGTGGATGTCCAGTTGCTTGAGGTCGCTTTTAGCATCCTCCAGTGTCGTGAGTTTCTGTCTATGACGAGTTCTCTCCAGCGACAGCGAATCGCTTTCTGTGGCTATATGAGCTACCTCGTCATCTCGCAGGTCTAGGATGGCTTCTGGTGGAAACAAGGTCGGCAGTTTGTCGATAAGACACCATTCCACCGCCAGCACGCTAATATCGTCAATAAATTTCTTACTCGCGACCTTTGACACATGTCAGTCACTGGTCAACTTCGGATAGGGGACCTATGAATAAAACTTGAGCGATGCACCAACCTTATAATAGGCCTCCATATAGTCAACTGCAAGTTCGCCGCCATAACGCTCCATATCAACTTCGATGTGTTTTCCCAACTGCTCCAGGATTCGAGTGGGATAGATGCTGACGTGGCGACCACTAGCAAACTCTTCGTGGCCTACTATTGCGCGCAATTGTTTTTCTAGACTTTTTCGCCTCCTTTCCTCCTGGACTTTTTGCACGGTATCCGTCAAGTAGTGATTGTAAGTTATCGGATGGCCTTCCAAGTGCGGTGTGAGCAACTCTTTGAACTTCACTTCGAGGTCGCTTTTGAATGGCTCTAGAGATCCACGGATGACGGATAATATGCCAGACGCGGTTTCCTGTACCGCAACGTGGTCCACTATTAGCTTCAGGATGTCATTTGCAAGCCCGAGAATTTCCGATAGGAGATTTGAGGCAATGCCGCGCCATGGCGTACACTGCTCGACAAAGAGTTCGCCAATAACCATAGGGTTGAATGTGCCCGGCAGTTCGCGGCCTCTACTTCGTCGAATTCGTTCCTTGGCGAGGTCAACAAATTCAGCGCGCGATATCTCGTCGAGCGCCAATTCTTCCTCATCGGATGTGGTATCCACAATAATACGCTGTTTACCTTGCTGCCTCATCTTCTCGCAGAAACTCGTCAGCGTATTTTGTACTCGAGCTCGCAGTCGTTTCCGATATCCGTCATCAGTTTTGGCACTGCCAAAAAAAGAGTTGTTATATACTCCATCAACAGCCGCCTGGATTAGAGCGGTGAAGTCGCGGCTCACTTGAAGGAGGTATCGGCGCTGCTCGGTCACATTGGTCCGTGGAGATCCAAATAGTCGGAGCTGACTTTCGGTTGACGATATCTCCATCTCGATATCCTGAATAAGGGCAGGAAGTTGTCGTAAAATCTGGTCTTTCAACACATCGCTGAGTCGCGGCTTCAGAGCCTTTACTCCCAACTGTGCAGGATTGACTGTTGTCCAAACTCCAGAGCGAAAAAAAATCTCCTCAGCTTCATCTCTCTCCGCAGACGAGGCATCCCGCATCTGATAATCTCTGTTTTTGAGAACATGCCAGCCTAAGCGAAAAGCGACGTCCTCATTCTGAGCAAGCTTGACATACGCGGCCTCGCTGTCAGATCCAGCATCCAGCGCATCTGGCTTCGTGATTAGGCCTAACGTGCGTATTCCTTTCGGATCCAGCTCTCTGGCCATTTCCGTTATTTCTTGTAAAGCGAAATCGCTTTTGGCAGATACAACAGCGAGAATAATGCTTCGAGGATTTTTGACATAAGCGCGCACCATTTTGCGGACAGTTTTGGCGTCTTTGGCACTTTGTTCTCGATTCCCCGCGCGGAATAAGCCTGGGAGATCAACCATAGTCAAATGTGGTTAATACGGCCCCGATAGTTCAACACGCAGAATATCAGTGCTGAACACTTTAAAGTCTGATATTCCCATGACACCTTTGGCTTCATCGACGACTTTTTGAAGGTCTGGTTGTATGAGGTCTATTTCTGCCCGAAATGTGTTGAGACGCTGTCGTTCGTCGGGTGATCTTTCCGGTCCTGGATGAATGGAAATGTTTACGGCCACGGTCACTTCACGACGAAGAATTAGTTCGGTTGCAAAACGTGTGCAGAGGTTATCTTTGGTTGGGAATGTTAAGCCAGAGATGGCTTCAAGTACAGAGCTCTTTCCCGCTGATTGGTCGCCGCAAACGACGATTTGCGGAAGGTCGACGTATCGACTCACGCCTCTCGACCTTAGCTTGTCGATTATGTCGAGGAGGTTTCGGTGGTCTTCCGATTGCAATGCTTCCATGGCGACGGTATTTGTTGATGCAAAACGATACATCAGCCTGGGCCGGCAGTGCACATATTGTAGACTTCGGCACAGTGGCTCATAGCAGATTGTGCACGGAAGTTCTGGCAAACCTTAAGTTGCCATGGCTGTTTCATTCGTCAGCTACCTTCAAAGATAACTATAGCTCGAACTCAAAATACCGTGAAAAGCGAGAAAATTACGGAACCGACAAAATTCGACCATCGTGCCGACGTCTCGAGAATTAAAAGCGCTCATCATGAGCTCCTAAGCAGTTATATCACTGTTTTTTTTTTGCGCCCGATAGGATCGGCCGCAGCTGTCGATAGGGATGGGTCAGTGGTTACTGAACAACGCACATGCCATGTCACCCCGCGGAGCATGCCGGTACCGATGCTAGGCCGGCATGAATCGCGGCGTTTACTTCTGGACACGCCGGCATGTACCACTGTCTGCTTCTATTCACTGCATGAGCAGCGAATTCCCGCCACTCACCATTGTACAGCTGATGGTACAGTACTGTACCAGCTTCTGCTCCATAGATCGACTTCAAAAGCAGCTTTCTTCTCCTGCCACCCTGGGGTACCTTGCGGGCCGCCGGTCGCTTGTAATTGCAGTGTGAGGTCTCCTTTAGGCTCCTTACCACCGATGATGTGAGCAGCGATTTCTGCCCATCACCCCGCAGCACATATCGATCGGTTCGGGGTGCTTCATGAACAGCGATTCTTGCTGCTTACATCCCACATCCACAGCACATGCTCCCGGCACCGCTGCTGGATTGACACAGAGGAGCAGATTTCTACTCATATCAGCCTGTGCGGCATAATGTGGCGGCTTTCTGCTTCTAGCAATCTCGCGGCACGCGCTGCAAAAACGCGCTGTGGCTGGGGGGCGGGCTTGAGCTAAGCAGTGGGACCTGCGAGGTTGCAGCGTGCATGGCCACATGAACCTGCATGCACCAGTGAGTGAGATTCGTGTATTATTTTGCACAAAAATACGGTAGCTTCCTGTCTCCATATAGTGTCATTGTCAGTGGTCCGCATTGAATTGCTTGGACCCTGTTAAAATCCTACTATAAATTCCTCCTTATTATATTGACGGGCGGCTTTCGTTGCGTCCCCGGCCCCAGACCGCAGTGGATTACATAAAAACTACAAGGTGAGCTGTTGGGCTTTAGACTATATCGCAATGTCGCATGGCGCACAAGGCGCAGCCATCTGATCACAGTTTCACTCAGCCACTCCGAGTCAAGAATACCCACAGAGAAACACACTCGGCGATGAAACATGTTGAACGACATCAATAACTAGTAGTCGCACTCTCCACAGTAGCCACACTCCTGATCACATGCAGTCAAGTCTTTCACTAGTGAGTATCTGTCGGAAAATGATTCGCGCTGCCACAAAGTTCCAGCATGCTCGTTCTTCTCGTTCGCCGCTGACATGATCCCTGAACCAGCAAGCGCTGCGGAACGAGAAGTGCCAGCCGAAGAGGCGTCTCCTTTTGCCAATGTCATACGGGGCGTCTGTAAATCAATATCACGCGCCGGTCTTGCCAAGTTTGCGCGCCAATGGTGTAGATTGACCGGGTCCTTCTGATATATGTTGAGTTCGAAGAACTTGTCGTGCGTCTGGCACCTGAAATTCTTGTACCTAATCGTTGGTTAGCCCATTGGAGAGAAAGAAGAAGGCTACCTGCGCCTACGTGTTGAGCTTAGCAAAGTTTCCTTGAATCAGCTCATCTTCGTCGACTTCGGCAAAGGTATTCTCCGGCCAAGGGATGAAATATCTCTTTGACTCGAGCGGGCCATAGTTGACTTGCCGGACAAGCTGGACCGCAAAGCCTGCACTGGGGAGTTTTGTACCAGAGGCACTTTCGACCCTTGATTGTTTTGGAAAGGCTGCCCAATTGCAGAATGAGTCGAATTTGTCCTCGTGCATGAGACGCTGGGGGCGGTAGGGCGCAATGGCGGCACAGCAAAAGATTGAGGTAGCCATGGTGGCTGGTCTCTGCCTTGATGATACGATTGATCTTGGGTGCCTTGACGGCCAACTACTTGTACTTTATAGTTCCATGCTGACCTTGAATCACCTTTCGTGCCCGACCTATCCCGCCATCTGCTTGGTCGAGCGAACTGCCATGCAACCCTGTAGACATTGTGGCATATCCGCGCTAGCCTCGCAGATCTTGTGGCATATCCGCGCTAGCCTCGCAGATCTTGTGGCATATCCACGCTAACCACCTAGCTTTGTGGCATACCCGCACTACGTAGCGTTTATGGCACACTCTTAGCTACCAATCATACTACTTATTCCTTGCGGCGTTGGCCGCGACAGCCTAGTATAAAGGAACTTGGGTTTCCCCCCCTTCTTCATCTTTCTCCTTCTTCTTTCCACAAGCGTTGGCCCATGCGGGCGAACCGCAGACAGTCTTTACTTTCCATATACCAACCCATCAATCTCCTTCTAAACCCCCTTTTTAAAGCCATTGTGTTTGATTTTTTGCGATTTTGTCCAATTTTTCCCCAGGCTCCATCCCAGTCTCCCTCTACTCATAAAGTAAAGGCTTCATCTCTAGTCAAGTTCCGCCAGAACCACTTGGGTCTACAACTTCTTCTTCTACACACTTATCTGAATCTTGTTATGACTCTTATGTGGATCCGCGGTGGATTGCCTCTGGCAGCGGTGGTCCCCTTCCCGAGTATGAGGAGTACGCAGCATCGACTGTGCAGCCTACGGAGCCTGCTGGACAGGACGAACCGTTTGAAACAAACCAATGGCCTATACATCTTTTCACAAACAGCAACGACCAGCAAACCAACTATGAATTCTGGCAGGCCGACACTGCGCCAAGTTTACATCAGTGCCGCAAGTGCCCGGAAATTTTTGCGTCTCAGAAACAGTTGACGTGAGTGTCCCCGAGCCTTTCTTCTCATCATTTGACCAGCCGCGCTTACGCAGCCGAGCAGGCGACACTATACGACAAAACATGAGCGGCGCTTCAAGTGCCAGGCGACCGGGTGTGGCAAGCTCTTCGGCCTCAAAGAGGATCTTCACAGCCATTTTAACGCGCGGCATGTCGATAGCTCCGAGCAAAAACGGTGGTACTGCAATGTACCATTGTGCCAGAAAGATATGGCCATCAAAGGAACCGCGCATCGGGATAGCCTGACGAGGCACATGCGAACCCAGCACGGTGGGCAGACAGCCGCACAAAACAATGTATAATTAGCTAGCATCAAATTCACTCTTTCTCGGTCGCGTTACTCGCCTCTGTCCTAGTGTTGAAAAAGTGACCTTGCAAGGGGAGATCTGCCACGCCGATAAAGAGACAACCCTCAACATTGTCCTACTGCAAGCGCCACACGCGGAACGTACTCCCTCTTGCTTTCCAGCAGTGGGAGACGGAAGACTGGGAAAGCTATCACGCAGCTGCATCGCCTATAACGCTAGTCTCAGCAAACTGGGTGCTTTCCGCGGCACGGATGTGTCGATTATTGCAAGGTACGTCATCAACCTTCGCGCATGTCTCAAGTGCCGCGTCGGGTGAAGCATGTGGCAAAGAGGCACTGGAGGGACTCTTCTTATCCCTACTCTCCAACGAATAGGAGATGAGACACATACGGCAGCGGTAGCAGGTTCGAAGGCTACTGTCAGAAACGCCAAATTGCCGACAAAGAAGCAAATGAGAGCGTAGCTCACAGTCCCACTAAATTCTGAGCGGCGTCTCGCGTGAGGCTGAGAATTGCACCCTGCAAAACGTGCTGCATAGTAGTACACATACAGATCAGTCTAGAGATTCTTCCCAGCCAATGAGACGACAGATGATCTTAGAAGATTTCAGACTCCCTGTAACAGCGTCAGCATACAGTACCAGGCAGGCTTGGTATTTTTGAACCATAAAACTAAATGACTTTGCCGCTATAATTTCGCGACGCTTCCGCCAATCTCCTTTCCGGCTTTGCCTGGGGTCGAGGAGGATGGTTTCGCCAAAGTCAATAATATTCTTCAAATTCGACCTTTTGTTCTCCAAGTAGTCCACAAAGAATTGGCGGTCTAACACTAAACGGTCGCTTGAAGGCACAATACTACCGTCTGGCGCATAGACATACGCTCGAGACCATTGCGCAAGATGTGTAAGATATAAGCTTGCGGCTTGTCGCACTTGAATGCGTGCGAAGAGTCTCCAAATAGGGTCCATCGTCCTTTGGTGGGCTTGAGAACGGCACGATCCAGGTCACGTAGCTAGACACCCCGTCGTCGTGTCGGCTGGGGATGCGCGTCAACGGGCCGCTGGCCTGTCTGGGCGAGAGCCTCTTCCATGGCCATGTCCGTCGTGATGGCGGCCCGCGCGTCGAGGAAGTCGACTACGCGTCGTTTGTTGGGGACGGCGTATGTCACCCATTCGATTCGTTTGTAGGCCGTCGTGCCTCGAATACCTGGGAGCCATTGCTCCTTTGACTTGATTATTGCTGCCTGGGTCTGCGGCCCATACGTGAAGATGGCTCATCCCGTCCGGGTCTGCGATGCGCCGGTGATGTTCGTCAGATCTAAGTGATTAGTGCGGATAATGTGTGCGCGGACTGCGTTCTGATTGATGGTGCGTCTGCTTCTTTCTGTCTGCACATTTAATATGGAGAGTAGTGCATCCTTTGACACATTGACCATGTGTCATACATGCAGAGATGTCACTGATAAACTGGCCACCAGCAATGCAGCACATAACAAAAAAGATGCCCACGAGGCAGGCAACTATATTCTGACCGGCTACCCAGACAATCTGTCACTGGCCAGTGGCAGGGGATCGGGTCTTAGCGGCTGGCACCTCCAACGGCGTGTACGGAAGCGATCCGACAAGCTTGTCACCTGCCGGAGAGTGGAACACTACAACCACCTTACTGAGCATCTATGGCATTGCTCTTGTCAAGCCAACGCTGCAAGACAAGAATTCGGATCTGATCCCCTTCGCTTTCGACTGTGCTCTCCGACCCTGCGTCGTATCGTTTAACGCTAGCGTCTGGAAAGTATGCCGAGATAGAAGTTGCGCGCCATTATCTAGACGCTGTTCCATTCGATCATTCATTCCAACTGGCCACCTCGAGCGCAGTCGTCAATGGATCACGGCAAACGTGTGCTGCCAGCGAAGAAAAGACAGCCACCAACAGCGTACATGTGCTCCTACCTGCGTCAGCCCCAAGGAGATCCACGGGACTCGATGATGACGATAAACTGCCTGGCAAATGGTACATACCCGAATGTGTATATTCCTTTACCAAGAGTCCTACCAGCGCTCTTGTAGATTTCGTCGGGCGCATCTTTGACAACGCCTCTATCCAGCTCGTGCGCGGTGTAGATCAAGTTGACGGGGCCGTGTGGCTGCAAACGCTCTGGAGCGCTGGCACCATGACAATTGAGTCCGTGGACCACTTCATGGACGGTATATCGCTTGCTATTGGCGGGGAGATGCGAAGTAACAAGCCGCCGCCGTCGCAGCACGTCGACGATGGCGTACCGTTTAGCGCCGGAAGTGTGACGGGAGACGCCCTCTACAGCGAGGTGTGTATCCGCATTAAACGGAGATACCTTTCCTTTCTGGCAGTTCTTCTCACCATTGAGATGCTGTTTTTTGCGGCCGTCGTGGTCATCAGCCAGCGCAGCCCCTGGTGGTGCGAGAACTGGAAGACGTCGGCCCTCCCACTGCTGGCACAGGCAATTCGCGGCGAGGACGCCACCAATCACCAACCCCGCTGGAGTATGGGCAGCAATTGTTGTCGAGGAACTTGATCCTGATAAAATGGCGGCGAGGAAGAAGGAAGTACGGCTGTTAGAACAGCATGGTGAATGGAGATTTGCAGCGCGGTAAATGCGCCTCGGAATGTAACTCAAGTATCGTTTACCTATTTCTTTGTCACGCTGGAATTCGCGCTGTTGGGTAGTTGCGGCAGCCTGCTGAGCAGATTCGCAGCGGCGTATGGTTTGAGAGAGTGGAGGAGTATAAGTGCCACATAATACTTTATTTACTTAAGTTAATAATACAATTATAATATTATTAATACCTACTTAGAAAGGTCTAATTAAATAGTAGAGTTTTTTATTGCTAAAATTTATCAATTAATATTATTTTCTGGTAAAATCTAGATTTTTGGCGCTAAAGAATTATTACAACCGAGTGTTTGTAGACGAAGCTGCTTTTGCGCAGGTGAATAAAGTTTAAGCCATAATATATTGCTCTATAAGGAGCGTATCTTCAAATCTGGCCTCCCGAACACGCATAACAATAGCCTCATATTCTGGTATTTACCAATAACAGGCAATAGTTGCTACTTGAAGGGAACGTGTAGCGTGTTTTCACTACTTATTGCTGGCTGCTTCGCTGCATCCGGACGATTTTCACAGCACTAATATAGCATAGCTAGTTGCGTACGCTCTGAACTTTGAGCATCATAAAAAGATAAAGGGCAAGCAGCAAACACTGGATCACGTCCTGTTCTAAGCTCTGCCAAAAGTTTTCACATCTCCTGGGGACCATCTTGTCCGGAAAATCTACATCCATTCATTCTTGCATAACGTCCGACTGGTATCCGGCCTCATGATCATTCTCCGGCTGGTCCTCGGATTCCTCAGATTCATGACCTTCCATCATCACTCTGGTCAGTATATGGCATATCGAGCGAATAACGTCTTTGGGCTCCTCGAGATCTAGCCACTTCGTACTAGAAACACGAACGCATGTGTCTTCTGGATAATCCTGAACTATGTCTAATTGCTCGTTCTCCGTTGGGGCGTCCAAGTATTCCTCGTAGCGAGAGTCGAAGTCAAAATGTAAGAAACGGATAAATGTACCGTTGCAAATATACGAGTAGACGCTACACGCGGGCCCTTTAGCTGCGAAGCGAGTTTAAGTGGCGGCTGACAGAATGAAAGAAGGGAGTTCTCACCCGCCATGGAACAATCCTGTGTGGCTGTAGTGCTTCCAGGTCGTGACAGCCTCCCCAACGACCTGCGCGAAGAGCTGGATAGTCAAGACGGGCCGATAACTTTCGGTGCGATTGTTATAAAAAAGGTTTTGAGATGCTGGCTTACATTCGCCCAACATCAGAGACGGGTTAAGGGTTGTCCAGGAACCGGACTGAAGACGCTTCTTACACAGGCCGCCATCATCGGCACCGACAACACCTGTGGCAGCAATCAGTGCCCACGACGAATGACTCTCTGGGCGAAAACAAAATTCTTCTTTGGGATGACATTGTTTCAGGACCGAGTACAAAGACAAGTGGAAGAGTTCCTTAACTAGATTGGCCACCAGGGACTCTGGCCTCCGGGCACGGAACTCGTTCTGGTCATCGTCCAAAGGAATGCTAGCGTGACTACTACTGTATTCGGAGGAGGAGCGCCGTGCGGGGGAAGAGGACTCTGGAAATGGAATCATAGATGATGGGACGAAATCGGGATACTGAGCGACTGGTCTGTCACCAGCACGCTCGCGGGTGTTATGGTTTCGCACTGGATCTCGCACATCGCATCGAATTAACCTGGCCAACGCGAGATGAAAACTGCCAGTTGGCAGGCCACATAGAAAGGACTCAGAGGCGGTGCGAAGTCGCGAAACTGGAGTGAGAAGATGCTCTATCATGGCGGGGTTCACTTCGTAAGGGGTAGAGCTCTCGGGGTGGCAGATTGGGCACGAGTGCTCATGAAGGTCACGTAAAGGCAACAAAAAACTTTTCTGCCAAGCTGCCTTGTTTTTGAGGACCCTGAAGGCTTTCACTTCCCCAGCACCCCATTTGCTGGCGGAGGATCCCAGCGTGTCGAGGTTCGATAGAACGTGGGGCCCATGCGGGGTTACAAGTTGCGCAACAGTTTCAGGCAAGTCGGGATCGAGGTAATTGGCCATTATTTTGGCACGGACGGAGACAAAAAGATGGCCGGATAATGATAACGAGCTGACGTGAATGACAGAGGAATGTGGTGTTTGTTTTTTGTCTATGGAAACAAGGACTTTTGAGGGCAAACAGTGGCGGGGAACGTCCATTAGTGGTCGTCACGTGCGGTAGCGATGACAGAAACACCGCTAAGGTTTGGGTGGAGGGCAACCTGTCCACCCCTGATATCAACATCGACAAACATCAGACCGAGCGCGAACCGAGGACGCCTGTATCCGTCAACGGCCGAAAAAGTATATGGAGAAGGATCAGCATGGCTCTCACGAGTCAGCCAACGCAAGCGCACGGAAGCGTCGGGCCGAAGCGAAGGCTCGATTCTCAGAACAACGCAGCACCGAAACGAAAAAAATACGAGCCACGCCATGGAGGAAAGGCCACTAGACCTTTGACGTCCGGAGAACTCCTTTGGGGTCCAAGATACACCAAATCGCTATATTGTAGCGAAACGGACAAGGAAATATTCGGCATACGTTTTGACAAGAAGCTCGACGAGAAGTCCGCGGAAAAAAGAAGTTCGTGTCAGGCCGGGCGGCTGAACAGTGTGGAAGAGTTGAAGTACTACGGGGATCTCAGGCTCAATGCAATAGTAGCACTGCTTGGATCGTTCGGATTGCGACCATGGAAGCGAGGTCGAGGACGAAAGCTGCAATTACGGTACGGACATTCAATATCAGTCGTGGCTACAGATGGCGTCTTCCAAGTCCCAGCCACCGGGTCATTGGTTGCAGTTGCCGATATTGTGAATATGAGACACAGGAGGGAAAAGCACTCCTTGGCTCTATGGCCGCAGGCCAACGGAGAGAAGAAAGAAGACCGAGAACACAGAGCCAAGGAGGCATTGCGCATCAGGCCCAGAATAGTAGAAGAGGACGCGCAAATAGCATTGATGATGATATCGACGGTTAAGGAGATGCTAAGGAGCGGTGAACAAAACGGAACGGGGGCGTGGGCAAGGGTAATTAGCTTGGGCAGTGATCAGATATTCTTGTACCGAAGCTGGATCTCTCGACAATTTGTTGAAACGTTCGATGCCGGCGCGGGATTTACCATAGAGTATCGAAGCGTTCCGTTGAAACAGAAGCGCCAAGTTTTAGATCAGCTTGAGTGCTTGCTCGCGGAGAGGGCTTCATCTAGCGACCAGCACGGCGGTACTGATTAGCTACAATGTTGCGAAATGACGTTGCATGACCGAGAAGTGTCGCTTCGGCGACACACGAAACAGTTTTCTGAGGAGGAAATTTGTGTAAAGTTTAAGCTATGATATATTCCTCTTTGTAAAGCGTATCTTCAACCCTGGCCTCCCCATAGGCATAATAATAGCCTCATATTTCTGTTATTTATCAATGATAGGCGACCTGTGGCTGAGAAGCGTCATGAATCGTTCAGCATCTTTAAGAGACTTCTCAATTCCTTTTCCCTGGACACGAACTCGATGAACCGCGGTGTGACGGATGTCAGCAATCGACTGAAAAAGCTCTCTCAATGGCACACCGACGTCTGGATCCTTGTCAAACAATGAAGGGTGCCTTGCAAACTCTCCAGCCCATAGGTTCAACTCGACCGCTTCGGGACAATCCCAGCCGCGATTTCGCATTAGATCAGGTAGTTTGCGGCGTCCGTATTCATTATAGACCTGCTCTAGCATGTTCTGCACATGAACGAAAAGTCGGTGTTGTGCACCCATTGGTAGATAGATTGGGAAGATTGACGAAATTTGCCTAACTGGCTGGTGGAGGCTTGGCGTTTGCTTCGACACTTCTGCTATTTCAGCAGCGCCATCAACTTCATTTTCTGTATCTCGAATGCCACCGCGATCAGATCTTGCCGCAAACCATGGTCGTATAAATCACCTACTTTTTTGTTCGTCAATGCCATGTAGTGTGGACGTAGGCTGTAAGCCCTCGGATCCAAGCTGTAACGCCTGCCTGATCGCGTTTGCTTCATAGCGCGCCGTCCCTGCCTCCGAAGCTTCTTTCTCGGCACTTTCTATGGAAGATGGATCAAAAGCTCGGGAAATTGTACTTTTGCCTTCAATGTCGACTCAAATATCTCGGCGCCCAGCAGATTTGAAGCCAAACCGCAAACAGTGTCAAAATCGTATTCCCGCAATAGGTTAGCAACGCTCTCTTGTGTTTTGTGCTGTTTGATTAACTTCGAAACCGTTTTAGTCTTGCGCACTAGGGCGTTTTGGCCTTGGAATATGTTTTTAAGCGCCAGATATACGACTCTCTCATCTGGTGGAGGATTCTTGCCACCCATGATACTGAAAGAGTGTTCATGAAAACATTTGCATTTCTGGTCAGCCTCACCGATTGAAGAGAGGGGATTGGGGCTATTTAAACTAGGACAACCACCGATGCGCATTCTTTCCGTTCCATTGCTGTGTGGAATCAGTGCACGCAACTGTCTAGGGGGATTCCAGCTGAAGAGAGCTTGTTTCAGTGAGCTATGGCGCGGAGTGAATTGCCGGTGATCAACTCCCCCCTCCTTCAAAAAACGGTAGCATCCCTATTATCACCTAGACACAGTTTTCTTGGCATTTCAAAGCTGCGTAGCTCTCACATCTGACCAATGGTTAGCAGCCACGAGTTGACACATGCATGCAATATGCATGTGCTTGTCTAAGAGCCACGTCGCTAGCCCTCCATATCCTTGGCCGCTGTCGGCCAGCTCGACCTGCGACTTGCCAGCATCTGCAGCTGGCTCTGCGCTACCTGCTTGCTGTTGCTGCTATGGGCTCTGTACCACCAGCTCGTGCTAAGGCGGAAGATCTCTGCTGCGGATTTAATGGTTATCTATATCGTTGGGATGGCTGCTAGGACATTCCTTACGCTGATCTCGCATTTCTTGTTAAAGGTGGCCTCATGGACTTGATACCTTATTTGTAGAAGTGCGTGGTTATGTTTAGGTTCTCTAGATATGAATAATGATCTCTGACTTTCTAGAAAGTGCATATATAACTCGCATGGTCCAGCTTGGTACAGAATACACGGGCAAACTGCTAATGCCGGCATCGGCACTCGGCACAGCGAAGTACAAACAAAGGCTCAAAGGCCTGACCACGCTGTTCAATGTAGCAGTTGAAATCCGCTCGACAGCTCTGATTTCGACATTCTTTTCTTTCCTCCAGCGTTTTCATACAGTTATTGATGTTTTCCACGATTTGAGCAGACCTTGCTTCAGCACCCTTGTGGCGAGCTCTTTCAACTTCAAGTTCAAAGAGAAGATGGGTAATATTGGATCGCATTGTATCTTCTGCGGCAATAATGTTTCGAAGAATTTTGATGCCGAAATTTCCAACTAGCTCAGCCAACTGATCTGTATCCAGATATTGCCGGATATTTTTTGCAGTTGCTTCAGCCAGCATAGTATGTAATGTTGTGTCTCCTGTTCGGCCCAGTGCCTCTTTTGCCGCATCGAGCAATGCTGCTTTAGTTGATGCATTTTCTGATGCTTGTTGAAGTTTTGCCTTGCTGAGTTCAGCAAGCGCTTTAATGCCGTAGTAATCTGCAATCGAATTAAGGTATACGTGTTGTAAGAGGTCGTCATCTGATGCTGTTGAGCCAGCTACAGAGGCATCGTTCGTCTCCTGAGCTTCGTGAAGCGGCGAGCCGTAATCTCCGGTATATAGGAATTCTACCATTTTCTCGACCGTATCTGCGTCATATTGCGTTATAACTATAGTCCCCGTCTTTGCTTCCTGATTTCGATTAGATTAATTTCTTCAGCTGGCCGTCGAACCGACTTGCCTGGAAAGGCCCTCTGATTGCCGCGGCAAGAACTTCAGATTGCGAGCAAACCACTACTCGGTGCACACTGAACTCTCTGCCGCTGCAGGATAAGGTCAAATCAGAGTATAATCCGGTTTTCAAGACATGGCCGAAACTAGGGCCGCGAGTAACAGCACTCATCGTGTTCAAAATCTTGATTGAAAATTCTCCAACCACAGAGGCTAGAGCAAGTGATAAACTGAGTGGGATGGGGATATTCTAGGTGCGGGGTAGCGGCTGTGTTTTGTTGCCCAGCTAGATTCTCCCAACCAGTTAGCTTGCACCAATCCAGCCGTTAAGTTCTGGCCTCACTAGCCGGGCATTCCTCTCCTCGTACGACGCGCTGCTCTCGCCCAAGATGTTAAACGACGCGAATGCTGTAGAAGGAAAACATTTCCACTTCTGCTTGTAGGCTAAACTTTGTTTATATTGCGGCCAAATTTGCCTGCATTCAGGTCCTCACTACCGTAGCTTTAGAGTAAGAGTGCACTAAACAAGCGGACTGCGTTGGCTGAGGGTGACGAACAAGAAGCTCGGCAACAACGTCAAAAAGTTCATTTTCGGCAATCCGTCGATGCCTTATCCCCCTTTGTACGAATCCAACTGCGCATCCTTTGCCACAGGCCTGTCAAAACCAATTTTGCTTCCGCAAGTTCTGCAGTAACGACGCAGCTGCACTTTGCGATATTTGCTTGCGTTCTCGGGTTTGAGGTCGAGAACAATGTTGCCGTCGCAATCAACGAACGTCTCATGAGCTTAGTCTTCGCCGAAATGGTTTGCCTTGAGCACGCAATAGCAAAAATTGCAAGCGAAATCCCCAGTATTATTTTTGTTAGGAAAGTGCTGCTCAAAGTCTTTCTCTGCTCTCATGACAAATCGGAACTTGTCTTGAAGATCGGCTAGCTCAGGACTCGCTCGTGCGTGTCGAGCGGCCTGATCGGCTCGCGGAAGTTACCTGTTTGTGATTGCATTTGATGACCTTTTTTGGCTCTCTGCGTAGTTGCCTCTTTCAGTAGGCCGTTCGAAGTCAAACAGATACAGTAACAAACACAATTCTTCGGTATTGTCTAATGCGGCCTGATCAGCCTGCGGAGCTACCCATTTGTGACCGCATTTACTAACCGTTTTTGGCTCTCTGCGCAATTGCCTCTTTCGGTAGGCAGTTCGAGGACTACCCAGAAACAGTAATGCCAGTTTTGGTCTGGCTTGCACAGTGGCCGGTTCTAACCGCGCAGCCACTTTTAGCTGTTTCGATCAGCCTGCTTTTCGCCGCCTTTGCCATCCCTCGTTGGCTCACGGAGCTGCCAGCTCAGTCAAGCTCCTGCCAGCTCAGTCAAGCTCAGCCAAGCTCAGTCAAGCTCAGCCAAGCTCAGTCAAGCTCAGCCAAGCTCAGCCAAGCTCAGTCCGGCTCAGTCCAGCCCAGTCCGGCTCAGTCCAGCCCAGTCCGGCTCAGTCCAGCTCAGTCCGGCTCAGTCCAGCTCGGTCCGGCTCCGCCGAGCTCAGACACGATCGGATCGCCGAGGTGTCAACTCGCAGCACACTTCGTGATCTGTTCACCCGAGCTTGAGATGTCCTGGGCAGGAGGACAGATTCTGTGAGCCTAAAAATATTCGAACAAAGTTGACATTGACTAATAATGAACAGTAAAATAATTGAAATGTACGGATAATCAGGAACTATTTAGACCGCCCCTGTAACACTGTAGAATACCGAACCTGAATAGACCCTTGCGAGCGCTGTGCTTTGAACTCAGCATTAAGACCCTCACAAATGGCCTTCCAACTGTACCCATTATTCTTCCAATCGATTATGAAATTGTCTTCTTTTTTAGTAAATCTTGGTCTTGCATTCCTTCTTATCGAATTAGCGTTGCGACCATGCTGCTCAATTCTTTCGCCAGGTCTGTGCATGATGAGGTCCTCCACGTCGAATTGAATGGTCAAAGTAGTCCGGCCGTCCACCTGCGTGAATTTCAAAGACGGATCCTTTAGAGACCACTCGTCGAATATAGCAGGCGCAAGATGGGGGCCGCAGCTAGCCGCCTCTTCTTCAACCGAGTCGGATTGTGGTGGGCTCAATCTTCTTGACCGACGAAGGGCACTGCCATCATTCGAGGATTGAACCTTTTTTGAAGTAGGCCGAGCTTTGCGACGCTTATGTGGTGGCTCCTCGTCGTCAGTAGAAGTAAAGTCTTCTTCTGCTGCGCCACTTGCGGCGTCCACAGACCGGTCCTCGGTTGATGGTTCCGGAGTTTGATGAACTGGCCTCTGTCTCTGCCTTTTTCCTGGCTGGCGGAGTAACTGATCCGTCTCACTGGACTGGCAATCGCCGCTCTCGCTTATTTTAATGTTCGTCGCTTGGCAGTGGCCTGCAATGTCTGGAACGCCGCTTGTGTCTTCTGCATCGCATCGCTCAGAAGGTTGAGCGCTCGCCACTGTTCCTTCCCCCTCGTGTGATGGCTGCTTAAGTGTGTGCGGATCCGACAATTTGCCCTGCCTAGACAAATCAGGAGGTGAATGTAAAACATTCTCCGTCCTGGCAGAGTCATGCCGGGGGCACGTCTCGACCAGCTTTGGCAAGTCAGCCCTGGCGGAGGGTTCCTCGTGAAGTGGCACAGGACCTGGACGCTGGTATTTGAGTGCGAGGCTTCCGGTGTGCGACGTAGCAGCCACCGAAGTACCAGTGCAAACGGTGACACTAGGTAGTGACGATATGATTCCAGCTGGAGAGTCCACCATGGACTCAGCCGGTGATAATACGGCGGCTTGAGCAGATCGCTGGGGCCTGTCTCCTCGAGACAGCAATCCACCGTTCTCCGTTTGATCAACTACATGAATTAATTCTTGTCAGCTCTGGCTGATATCAGGCCGCCCGAAGCACATACCGAATTGAGAGTTGCTCTTCGTTCGCTCTGGAGAATGCACTGATTCCTCGATCATCGGGAGCGGCTCGTCATCGTCCGAAATGTAGATAGCTTCAGCTGTGCTGGGTGACATCTCTTCCTGTGGAATGATTGAAGCCCTGGTCAGCTCACCGAACAGACCGAGAGAGCCAAGATTCTGCTTTGAAATTGGCGGCTGCGCCGTTTCTGCAGATTCGGACAATTTCTGTCTGCGGGCTGCTTTTTTATCCAGTTCGCTCGGGCTCCAGAAGATTTGACTGTCGAGATTGGCACAAGCTGTCATCTTCGGTATTGAAAGAGAAAAAAACGCTAGATGAGTAAATGACTTTCGAGCGGAGTAGTAACGCCGCAATAAAGGCAAATGATCCAACTCGCGGTGTAGCAATGCCTTGGGGAAAGAAGGCTTTTATAATGCTGAGGCCGCCTCTGCAGCACCACTCCGTTGCCAAACAGCTATATCAAGCAACCTGATAAAGTACAATGTCTGCTCATCCATGAAAACGATTCCTTTTGGAATAACCCTCATCCAGCTGCCTTTGAGCCGATCCTTCCCCTTTCAAGAGATTCCCTTTTCGAACAAGCAGAGTCAGCCGTGTCATTTGACTCCTGTAAGCTCGTCATCAACCAGCCACCAACTGTAGATTGTCATTACTGCGTGCGGTCGAGACCTGATGCCACGTCAGCAAACGGCGATCTAATGGAGCGTCCGGCGGAAATTGCGCAACGCAATACGAGCCTCGAGGACCGTGCTTTGCGCGGCTGTTGTTTGATTGGCTCGTTCGGTGCCGTTAACAGTAAAAGCCCCGAGAGGGAAGCGTATGAATGCAGTGACCGCAGCAGTATATGCCGGAGTGGGAAATACCTCCGCAGTCAGAAGCAGGTCATCGCCTCCGCCACCGTCATGGCGTCCATAGCGCGACAATTGAGACAGGCTGTCTGACGATTCGGATGTGACAGGTCAATTCAGGTCTCTTGGAGGCCTCCGACCGCAGATGGCGTCGTTTGGTAGTCGAGCAGAGTGTAGTCGGAACGCCGCTTGCAAGCATGCCTGACCATGCACGCAAGCATAGAACGACAGTCGAGTCTCATGACGTTCTTTTGAGCCGAAAGATTGCCTGGGCGGTCGAATATTCGCCTCAAGAGGTGCAGTGAGCGATGGTAGACCGTGCCTTCGAGCGGCGTACGTAGCGACTGGCCATAAGCCAACATAAAGGGGCAGAAACCGTGTGAGGAGCCGTTGTCATTTTGCTATGCCGGGGGCGAGGGAGAAAAGGGGGAGCATGCATCAAAATGTCGGCGGAGGGGGCGTGAAGAAACGAGGAAAAGAGGGAAGTTGAGGCAGGAGGCAAGGAGCGGCAGGTTGGAGGACTTTATAGCGGGCGCGCAAAGCAGCGATGCGCTAGCAGGGGCTTGGAGAGTGCCACCAAACCCGGGAGGGAAGGCCGGAACACTGAGATTATAGTATTTAATTATTAGGGGTTACTAATAATAAATTTTATAGTATAAGGCTAGTAGCTAATAAGGATAAGGAGCTAGGATTTTATTAGATAACTACTCTTATTAGAAAAGATAAGAGAGAGGATATAATTTATATTATTACTAAATATATAAGTAGCTATAGGTATATAATAAAGAGCTTCTATAGTTTTTATTATTTCCTCTAAGAGGGTAGTAATAGCTTTAGTTATTACTATTTTACTAAAAGAGTAGGTATAAGGATCTAATTTAAAAATACTATAAGCTTAGGCTAATAAAACTATATAAAGATCTATTAAGGTAATATATATAAGGACCTAGTTAGAAAGAGATAGAGGGTTAGAACTTATAGTTAGTAGAGCCGTGTTTTACTTAAAGACTATATTATAGTAGTTAATAAAAAAATAGTCTATTACTAGCTTTATAGGATTTATATTTAGATTTAGGCGTTTTACTTAGACTAGCTTTATAAGGTAAGCTAGTTTATTAGAGAAGGTATAGGCTCTAAGTATATTAATACTATAATTATATAAACGTCTAATAGTATTATCTATAATTTTATTAATTAGGGCTAACTAGATAATCTATATACTTTTAATATTAAGGGACTTAGAAATAACTAGCTAGACCTTAAGATATAAAATAAAACCTTTATAAGTTTTAGCTATCTTTAAGAATTCCTTTTTATTTAATACTAGTATATTATCTTTAGCTATAGCTATAGTTTTTATATCTTACTTAGTATCTTCTTTAATATATTAGAGGTTTTTTTCCTTAAATTCCTATAAGATATCTAAACTATTTAGCGTTACTTTAAGCTTAATAATAGTCTACTTATTAAGTTTAGTAATAACTAAGGTAGTATAGGCTACTATATTACCTTTAGGATAGTATAATTTATAGAGAGTATATTATATAATTATATATAATATATAAGTCTTTCTTATACTAAGATATCTACTAGTAAAAATTACTCTAGCTCTTAATTTAACTAAAGATATAAATAGAGATAGGGGAAAATTAGTATAGAGGGCTAAATTATTTAAGTAAGGAAAGATAAAAAGGAGATTATAATAATATATTACTAGGAAATCCTAAAAACTATAAATATATACTTACTATATTACGCTATCTATTCTAGTTAAAACTTTATATATAATATATAAAATAGCTATCTTATACTTAAGTATTATAATATCTAGCTATACTAAGACCTAGACTAGGGTAGAGTTATTAGGTATAATAGCTATAGCCTAATTTATATTAGTATTATAAGACTTTATATCTAGGGTTAGGAAATATATAGTAAAAAAATTTATAGGCTTCTTAAGGAATTTAGTAAAAGGAAACTTAACCTTAAGATATAATATCTTATATACTTTTAGGTAGTTAGGTTAGATAGGATATTAGATATAAAATAAGGCGTAGTATAGTGTTATTTCTTAAGGTAGTCTAATATAATAGCTATAGAAGGTTAAACTATCTTTATTATATCTATTCTTATTATTAATAGCTAAGTATGCCTTAATCTAGGTATAGAGGCGTTTATAATACCTATTATTTATTTTACTATAATAATATAATTTTATAATAATAGTGTAGATATATTAAGTAATATCTAATATTATAGTATTAGATAGGTAAGTAGTAGCCTATATAGTAGCTATAGTACTTAATATAAAGGTAGTTATTATCTTATATATAAAGATATAGATAGCTTCTTTTTTTATATTAGCTTTATTATTTATTAAATAAAATCTTATCTTATCTAGCTTACTATCCTAGTGTGTTTAATTAGTGGCTACTAGGGTGGTTTTTTCTATATTATAAAAAACGCTCTAAGCGTAATTTTCTATATCCTAGTAATAGGTTATAAGATCTTTAATAATATAGGTAATATACTACTTATTTATAGGATTTAGCTATAGATAAGACTTAGCTTTAATATCTAAACTAGTAATAAAGACTATATTACTAACTATACTAAGTAGCTTATAGTTATTATCTATAATTTTAATAACTATATAGAATTCTATAGCTTTACTATTTATTATAACTTATTTATAGTTTATAATTTACTTATCCTTAGTCTTAGTCTAAGGTAAAGGAAGCTTAAAAAACTTTATATAACTAAATACCTTTATACTTATCTTAGTAAGGATAATATTATAGTAAAGCTTATTATAAACACTAGCTAATAAGGATATAAAGTAGTAGGTCTAATTAAAGAAAAGGCTTATAATTAAAATAGGCTTTAGGCGTGTGTCTTTAGGGTTTACTATTAAAAGAATAATATTTATACCTATTAGATTATAAATATTTAAGTTTAAGGGTATTATTTTAGTAAAAGAGTTATATAAGGTAAGGTCTTAATTAAAATTTAACTATATATAATCTCTAGTACCTAAGTTAATATAAGAGAGCTTAATAGTTATTATATCTAATAATTTAACTATTACTACCTAGGCTTTATATTATTTTCTAATTACTATATAAGGGCTACCTACTTTATATATCTTATATAAAAAGGTATAGCCTAGACTAAAGAGTATTATAGAGTTAGGAATTAAGATAAATAGTGTATCTATATTATTAACTTTAAGAGGAGTTAAGGGAATAGTACTAAGAATAGAGTATAGCTTTAACTTAACTAGGAATATTATCTTCTATAGCTTTAGTAGTAGTTTCTTATAAGTATAGGTAAGACTTAGTATATTAATAAAAATAACTATATTAAAGGTATAGATAGTTTTTTAATTATACTCTAAGAGGCCTTAAATATAAATAGTAGGAACTTAATAGTTACCTAGAATAATAAAGATATTAATATAAATTCTAGTAAAAATATCTCTAGTATTAGATTATATATAATATATATTATAACTAAGGGCTATATAACTATTAATATAGATAATAGTGGTAACTATTAGGGGTAAGTTATATAAATAGTCTAGCTTTATAAGGACTAGTTTAAGTAAAAGACTAGTTAAGTTATTATAAATAAGATTAGCTATCTTATTATTATTAGGGGTATCTTTATCTTTATTTTTAGTAACTATCTTTCCTTTTTCTTTAATATCTTTAATAGTGTCTTTAGTAATAATACTATTATTTCTATATTCTATAATATTATTCTTATTCTTAATAATATCTTTAATAATAATATTATTATTTCTATACTTTATAGTATTATTTTTATTCTTAATAATATCTTTAGTAATAATATTATTATTTTTATATTCTATAATATTATTCTTATTCTTAATAATATCTTTAGTAATAATACTATTATTTCTATATTTTATAATATTATTCTTATTCTTAATAGTGTCTTTAGTAATAATACTATTATTTCTAAACTCTATAATATTATTTTT